AACCCCTGTGAATTCTCGGGCAGCGCAGTGTGTGTGTGAGCGTCGCATCCGAGCACGACTGCAGGTGAGCAGTTGAAGCTTCCAAGTGTCGGGTGAAATTTGGTGCAAAGTCGAGCAGAGATTTGCTCTTTCTGATCAATAGACTGCTTGATAATGGGTGCTTGAACCTCACCAAATAACAGCAGATTGGCTATTTGAGGGAGGTACTGAACTAAAGAGAGATTAAACGCTTCACTGGAGGGACAGACTGCCATTAAGTCAGCTCTGGCTGCTTGTGTTAGGATTGGAGCAAGATTGGGATAAAATTTGCGATATTCCTTAATGTGTTCCTTGAGTTAATTTGGACAAATCAAGTCTAAGGTGGATAGATCTTTGTCAGGTCGGGGTATCAAGGGATATGGGACAAGGGCAGATAATTGGAGTTGAGGTACAGATCAGTCATGATCTTATAGAATAGTGGAACAGGCTCGAGGGGCTGAATGGCCTACTCCTGTTTCCATGTTTCTGAGGAATAATGGTAAAAATTGGACTTGTTATAAAATTTCCTGATTAGTCGATTGGCAGATCGCTTTCGGGAGGTAAATAATACCTCCCAAAAAATGGTCCCTCAATCCACGACTGTGCGCTATTGGTTGCTGTGTTTGGCCGACAAAATACACAATCAATCCACTTTACAATATTCTGTGAAGCGCTTTAAAACATCTAAATGACATGATTAGGTGTCACACACACGCACATATACACATTAATGACATGATTGTGGAGTCCTGTAGCTCAGTGGTTAGAGCACTCGCTTTGCAAGTGAGAGACCGGAGTTCAATTCCAGGCAGAGGGCGAAACCTTGGGCAAGTTTCCTTACTCCACACAGAGCCTAATAATAATCCCTCCAAAACCAAAAACAATAATAAATTGGTCATTTTTAATCTACGACTGTTTGTGGGACATTGCTGTGCGCAATTGGCTGCCGCGTTCGCCCACAAATATACAGTGAATTCACTTTACAGTGTGTTCTGTGAAGCGCTTTGGGACGTCCTCCCGACGTGAAAAGCGCTATATCAAATGCAAGGATTATTATTATTATTATGATTGATGCACAGCAATGTCCCAGGACTGTTTGTGGGACATTGCTGTGCATCAAATGCAAGGAGGATATGGGGTCACAGGAGATCACAGAGGTAACCTGGAGCATGGCTGTAGGTTCTTTTAATGGTGAGGGTGGGATTCACTGAGGAATTTGGAGCCAGTGAAGATGGGCAAGGATTGGAGAGCTGGGTCCATTCTGTTTTCAACAGATTTTACTTTTGAAGAGAGATTTTTAGTGTAAAATCCGGTGTTACGCTGGTAAGAACAAGTTTATGTTTATATGGCAGGAGTAGCCGACTGGGAGCCCGAGCTGGGTGGTGAGAACTAAGTTGGGGAGGGGTGGGGAAGGTGCCCAAAAGTATGGTCATGAAAGATGTTAATGTGGCCTGAAAGGTGGGGGGGGAGGCAGACAGAATTCCGCAGTGTGGTTACACTGAAGGCAGGGGGCGGGTGGAATCCATATTAGGGTTCTTGAAATTCCTTTTTGTGCTTCAGTCGGTTGAAGTGGCCATTGAACTGGAACCAGCGTCCGCTGGTAATTACTGGAACAATCATAATACACAAACTGAACATTGTACTCTCCCCATGTGGCAGGTTCAGGGCTGTGTCTGGCAGAGTCGGGCTCTATTTTTCTCAGATGTTGATGATGGCAGAGGAAAGATTGGTGACCCAGTGAGGTTACTGCCACCTTCTCAACCACGCCCACCTGCAAGTCTCAGCCTGACCCATATATTCTCCAGGGCATGAAGGAACTTGTGTTTTGATGCAGCATTTATTGTCTCGAGGGTTTTACAACAATTACTGTCAAATATAGCAAGTGCTTTTTGCAGCAAAAGTAGCGGCCAGTGTTTGCACAGGAAGATGCCACAAGCAGTCATGGAGCCAATTAGATCTGGAGGATCGCTGGCGAGGAGACTAGGACAAGCACTTCGAATGGTTTCATGACCATCATCAATTTCCATAGGCAGACGGGACAACAGTTATAATAATTATAATAATGATAATCCTTTCATATGACATTCACTTGGTCATTCATTTCATGACTGCTTGGGCGACATCGTCAGTGACAGTACAGGGGCAGGAGGAGAAGCCATTGGCAGATATGAAGTGGAGATGATGGGGAAAGGTAAGAGTGAAACTAAACAAAATCAGAACCGTCAAGGTGGAGCTGAGAGGAGAGGCGATTTACTCTCCTTGTTGCGGGAGGCGGGGGAGGAAATGGGGTAAAAACATTGAACAATCATAGGCCTGAAACAAAAGCATTGTTGTCTGACTCTTAAACCACACAGAAAGAGAACCTATTGGAAATCAGTGGCAGAGTGTGTTTGACTACAGGTTAGTGTTTTCCTGGGATAGTGAGACTGACAATGACATATCGATCACAGTGTTGGACTGGAATAACCTGTAATTAACGAATCCTAAACAAGCCATCCCGTTCCAGCCCAACACTCTCACCAGACAACCCCGGTTGGAATTTGGTATAGTCTTTTTTAACAATGTGGTTTTGAAAGCGTCTTAAAAGCTTAGAGTTGCCAGTGAGGCTGATTGACATACCAGTCAGCAACGACTGCAGAACTCAGCGTGGAAGAGAGGTCTCGGAGGGGACCTCAGAGAGGAGACTATGTAAGATTCCAAACAGGATTGAGATAGTAAACCCAGAGCAACACTCAGATATGACGAGGCACAGAACAGCAGGGCCCTGGTTCACGGTAGCAAATGGCAATATCAGGGCAGATAGCAGAGGGCAATTACCGACGGGCACAGGGTTACTAGGAAGGGTGGCTGAGATCAGGAGAGTGTGATTCTGCAACGGGAAGCTAATAGGATGGTTAAGAGCTTAGGAGGATGCCATCCAGCTCATCGAACCTGTTACACAAGTTTATTAGATTTTGGCAGATCTTTTAATCCCAATGTCCTTACCCTTAATATACCCCATAATAACTCTACTGCCCACTCATCTGTCTTTCTTTCTCTGGAAAAGTGAAATCATATGGGTCGAAGGGCCTTGGTCATCTCCACCTCTCTTGTTACAAGAATGGCTTCACTCTGGCCTTTGGGCGGTGTGTTGCTTCGCTATATAAATGCTAGTTGTTGTTGTCATGCTCTCAATCAGTAGCAGTGTCAGCAGTGTGTGAGCGTGAAGAGACTGGGCTGACTGTGGCTTTACTGCTGGCCTATTCCTGAACAAAGGTTCATTGATTTTTTTTTATCAGTGGCTTTTCTTTAATCTGGAAAATCACCTTGAGGAGTAAACTACAGGGTTGTGGGGAAAGGGCGGCTACGCGTGACTGAAAAGATCGCTCTTAAAACGCGATGGGCAGGAGACACATGAAGGGCCGAATGACGTCCTTTAGCACTGTAAAATTTCTACATTTTTGTGGTTCTAATGTAGACCTATTTTAGTGTGTTGGATTGAATTATCGTTGAGGGCACAGATGGCAGCGCTGTGCCAGTCAAATGAGAGCACAGTTTGATTTCTGTACAGCAAAAGAAACCTGGCATTGGATGTTGCAAGACATCAAACTAATGGACAGATGTATCTGTTCCAGGTGAGCATGTCAGTGAGGCCCTGTGGAGGTTGTGCTATCTCGTCTGTCACGTTGTTCCTTATTTGCAGCCTTTCTTGTTGACTTGCAATGTGAAGTGAGAGCAGTCTGTGTTTCAAATTAAATTGAAACCTCCCCAAGTCCACCATACAGTATGTGGGGTTAATGATTGGGTCTGGAGAGTAAATAAATAAATCCTTGCATTTGATATAGCGCCTTATCACATCTTTGAGACGTCTCAAAGTGCTTCACAGAATATACTGTAGAGTTGACTGCATATTTTGTGGGCGAAAAACAGCATATATTGTGCTTATATATGCATAGATTGTGCTGCTATGTTCATCTACAAAACACACTGCCCCTACACTTCACAATGAATCCCAAGAAGTGCTTTGAGATGTCTTCCCGACGTGAAAGCCGCTATATCAAATGTAAGATTATTATTGTTGCTGAAATAATCCTCCTCCTCATACTATGGTTGTCTCAGCCTCTCAGCCCCCATTGACTTGTGCTTCAGGTGGATTTAAAGTCTGTATTTCAAAACAAGTGGGGTCTTTCTCTCTCAATTATCAATTAGATTTTGAGATGTTTTGGTTTATATGAATGGTGCTGTACAAAATGGCAGATAATTTGTTGTTGTTGGAATTAGCAATAGACCTCATCTCCGTTCCTAGCCAGCAGTGCGCTGGTTTCCTGGGGTTTATATTTAGCTGTTTATGGATGGTTTTGACCCATGTTTTCTCCTCCACTCAATGTAGCAATTCACCACCGAGTCAGCTGTGCTGCTTTTGCTGTCCTTCCCTTGTAATTGCGTGTTGAGTGCAGTTTTCCACGCAGTTTGGGAGCGAGGTTAGTTTGTGGCTGTCAGCAAGTACCTGTCAATACAGCCAGGTTTCTGGAACAGAAAATATACAAGCAGCAATCCAGTCCCCAGTGCCAGCCCTGTGCTCAGTCTCAGTCAGACAGTGAGCAGGGTGCAGGCACCCGGACCCCACAAGCAAAATACTTCAGTTCAGTTCATTTTTGGGCCAGGAGTTAGAATTCATTTAAGAATTCATCAGTTCTTGGATTTAAGAATTTGTTAAGTTCTGGTCGCTCTAAAACACTCTATTAGATCTGCACCCGGATGGAATTTCTCCCCATTTAGTTTATTGTTTGGTCTTTGCTGATGTATCAGGTTTCACAGGATCCAATATAGCAACTGGTTCCATTGCAGGTCATTGTTAGATCATGAAATCCTCTAGGGAGAACTCACAAACAGCTGATCCCGGTATCAAGAGTAAGGTAGAACTCCCTTCCTGCTCTCAGGGTTGAATTTGAAATACAATACAGCAGAATTTACATTTACACAGTGCCTGCCTTCACTTCTAGAGGACATCTCCAAGCGCTTTGTACAGCTGGCGGGCACTCGAGCCGGGGAAGAGAGAAAGCTAACGGAAGGGCAGGTCACAGAGGTACGTTGAGAGCCGGAAGGCAAATCTTAAATCCAGTCTTTAATTTCGAAGCTATTTTTCTGTAAGTTTTAGTTTTAAGAACTAAGGAAAACCAACTTCAAGGTTCATTCAACAATTTACCAAACTCGGAAATAAGAATAAAAATAATAATAATAATCCTTGCATTTGATACAGTGCCTTATCACTCCTTTGAGACGTCTCAAAGCGCTGCACAGAATATACTGTAAAGTGAATTGATTGTATATTTTGTGGGCAAAATGATTTGTTCTGTTATTAAGGGAAATTCCCCAGATACCACATCTAGGGAACTTCTCCCCAGATGTGCACACAGCCACGTCCTTCCTGCTCTCAGCATTGATGTTTAAATGCAGAGGAAGTTTGTGTCCAGTTTGTCCTGATCCCAGGTGCCTCACTTCATAACTACTTGTAGGACTTTCCTGTGCACACATTGGCTGCCGGGTTTGCCTACAAAACACAGTCTCTCCATTTACAGTAAATCCTATATAGCGCTTTGAGACGTCCTCCCATTGTGAAAGGTGCTATGTTAAAGGTAAGGATTATTTATTATTTATAATATCTCCGATCANTTTTTTAATGCAGTAAAATCCTCACCTTGTGTATGGGAGGGTATGCTCAGGCTCTCAGTGCTAGGATCTGGGATCACGTCACATTAAACCCCGGGACCCACACTCCCAGACTCGCTGTGACATTTGGGTCGTGCACAGAACTTTTCCTGCTCTTAAATTGAATGTTGAGAGCAGTGAGGATGAGGCTGATACCAGGCTCCAGGTCACACACACGAATACTGTGAATCCCTTTGATATAAAACTTAATTTGTTTACCTGTCGTCAGTGAAAAAAACAAAGTGGAGTGTACATGTCACCCAAATAGTGCTTTACAGAGAATGCACACAAAGCTGCTTCAAGTTCAGTAACATATTATACTGTGTGCGTGCACAGTGTGTGTACAATGTGGGTATAAATATATTAATATGTAGATTGGTTCTCCACTGTTGTTCACTGCAGTCACTCTGCACTGCTCTGGAGCTGTGTGTCAGGCAGGGGCAGAGTTTATTGATAGCTGTTGACTTGCTGTCACCCTGGACACAGCTCAATCCAGAAAACCTGACTGGCCCTCATCCCCCGCTGCTCCCCCACACATCAGGGATATTGTTTGATGAAGAGAGGGTGGACCCATCTTGTGTGTGAGACTCGCTGGCCTACCGCAGAGTTATAAAGAGCTGACAAGCTGAGGAAAGCCGGGGCATTTCAGTGTGGTGTTGACCTGGTAGATTATCAGTTGAGTGAACTTGCTTTACTCTAATATATTGTTCGCCCATAAAAAGTCACTACACTTTCCAGTAAAATCCTGTGCTGTGAAACGTTTCGACAACATGATTGAGGTTGAATGCAAGGATTATTATTATTATTATGCCAATAGTACTGTTTTTCTTGATATCGTTTCTGTTCTGTGTGGTAATAACCATGTGTTATTGGGGTGTTGTGGAATGTGAGGGTGTAGAACCATTCACCCATCGTGTCTGTGCTCACTCTCTGTAGCGGCTTCCATTCAGGCTCAATATCCTGCCTTTTTGTTTCAGGTAAAATGGACTGATTGGGTTTGGGGCGGGGAGCACAGCATTGAGTGTAATCCCAGCCCAGAGACACTGACCAGAAATGCCATTGGTCATGTGTGGAAAGTGAAAAGGTTGCTTGCAGCAGAAGCTGGAGGCTAGGTGGGCAATGGGGTGGGGAGTGGGATTGGATGAGCACAATGCTAGGGGGAGGCATTGTAGATGCACCATCGTGGGGGCTGTACCTGAAACCTCGTGTTTTTCCCTTTGCCTTTTACACTAACCCCCCCGCCACCCACCCCCCCAGTTCGGGGCCAAGCCATTATTGTTAAGCAACTTCTGACATCAACATGTGTAGGAAGTGCCTCCGGCTGCTCGAGCTTGAGCTCAAGGTTTGTCTGGTATCTCTACACAGCATATGGGAGGTTGAAGAGTTCATGGATTGAACGTTTCAGGAAGTGGTCACCCCACAGCTACAGAGGGTTCAGAAGGAGAATGAGTGGGTGACCACCCGTCATGGTAAGAAAGGGGACGGACAGTGCAGAAATCCCCTGAGAGTGTGGCACTCACACCGGCTCTCTGTAATGAATAGTAGTCAGGGTGATGACACCTCTGGGGAGGGGAGTCAAAAGCAAATGGATGCACAGGGGGATACAGGGAAGAGTGTCAATGCAATTGTCATTGAGGACACAATGGTGAAAGTAGGAGGCAGACGTTTCTGCAACAAAAGACATGACTCTTTCATAGTATGTTGCCTCCCTAGTGCAGGGTTGAAGACATCATGGAACAGGTGCAAAACGTTCTAGAAGGGGAAGGAGATAATAAATATGTGCAGGATAACTTTCTGGATCAGTATGTTTCCAGTCCAACGAGGAAGGAAGTAGTGCTGGATCTAGTTCTGGCGAATGAAGTGGGACAAGTGGAGCGGGTTTCAGTAGAAGATCATCGGGCAATAGTGAGCACAACATCACTAGGTTTGCAGTGCTTATGGGACAAGGAGCAATCAAAAGTGAAGATACTCAACTGGAAGAGGCTAATTTCAATGAGTTAAAATGAGACCTAGCCAAGGTGGACTGGAAAGAAAGATTGGCAGGTAAGCTAACGAGTAATGGAAAGCCTTCAAGGAGGAGATAGTTCGAGGACAGAGCAAATACATTTCCACAAAGGGGACAGGTAGGGCATCCAAACCTCCCTGGATGAATAAGGAAATTGGGATTAAAATAAAACAGAAAAAGGAGGCTTATGATAAATATCAGGTCCAAAATACAGAAGATAATCAAATAGACTATAGAAAGTGCAGAGGAGATCTGAAAAAGGAAATAAGAGGGACAAAGAAATTATATGAGAAAAGATTAGCGGGTAACATAAAAGGGAACCCTAGGGTATCTTATAAGCATATAAAGAATAAACGGTTAGTCAAAGGTAGGGTGGGTCCAATTAGGGACCAAAGAGGAAATCTTCTTGTGGAGGCAGAGGGCACGGCTGACGTACTGAATGAGTACTTTGCATCTGTCTTCACAAAAGAAGAGAATTCAGCCAATGCCACAGTATCGGAGGAGAGGCGAGAGAAATTCAATAAGATAAGAATAAACCAAGAGGAGGTACTAAAAAGGTTGTCAGTGGTCAAGGTAGATAAGTCACCCGGTCTGGACAGGATGCATCCTATGTTACTGAGGGAAGTAAGGATGGAAATAATGGAGGCTCTGGCCACAATCTTTCAATCTTCCTTGGACATTGAGGTGTTGCCAGAGGACTGGAGGGTTGCAAATGTTACTCCCCTGTACAAAAAGGGGCAGAAGGATAATCCTGGGAACTACAGGACAGAGTTCAGTAGTGGGGAACCTTCTAGAGACTATAATCCGGGACAAAATAAATTTTCACTTAGAAAAATATAGGTTAATAAATAGAGTTTTTTGATGAAGTAACGGAGAGGATGGATGAAGGTAGTGCAGTTGATGTATTTATATGGATTTTCAAAAGGCATTTGATAAAGTGCCACAAAAGAGACTTGTAAGCAAAATAGAAGCCCACAGTATTAAAGGGACAGTGGCAGCGGATACAGAAATGGCTGGGAGGCAGAAAGCAGTGAGGAGTGGTGAACAGTTGTTTTTCCGACTGGAGGGACGTGTGCAGTGGTGACCCCAGGGGTCAGTATTGGGACCACTGCTGTTTTTGATCTACATAAATGACCTGGACTTAGGTATAGGGAGTACAATTTCCAAGTTTGCAGATGATACTAAGCTAGGAAAAGTAGTAAACAATGAGGAGGATAGTAGCAGACTGCAAATGGTAAAATGGGCCGACACGTGGCAGATGAAGTTTAATGTGGAGAAATGCGAAGTGATGCATTTTGTGAGGAAGAATGAGGAGAGGCGATATAAGCTGATGGTACAATCTTAAAGGGGGTGAAGGAACAGAGAGACCTGGGGGTCATATAAGTAAATCTTTGAAGGTGGCAGAACAGGCAGATAAAGCTGTTAAAAAAGCATACGGGATACTGAGCTTTATAAATAGGAGCACAGAATACAAACGTCAGGAGGTTATGATGAACCTTTATAAAGCACTGGTTAGGCCTCAGGTAGAGACTGTGCTCAGTTCTGGGCTCCACACTCTAGGAAGGATGTCAAGGTATTGGAGAGGGTACAAAGGAGATTTACCAGGAAGGTACAAGGAATGAGGGACTTCAGTTATCACAAGAGACTAGAGAAGCGAGGATTATTCTCCTTGGAGCAGAGAAGGTTAAGAGGAGACTTAATAGAAGTTTTCAAAATTATGAGGGGATTCGATAGGGTAAACGAGGAGAAATTATTTCCACTGGCGGTGGATCAGTAACCCAAGGACACCAATTTAAAATAGTTGTTAAAAGAAACAGAGAGGAGGTGAGGAGAATTTTTTTTTACACAGTGAGTTGTTCGGTTCTGGAATGCATTGGCTGATAGGGTGGTGGCAGCCAATTCACTAACAACGTTTAAGAGAGAAGTAGATAATTATTTGGGGAGGACAAGCTTGCAGGGCTATGGGGAGAGAGCAGGGGAGTGGGATTGAATTGGATAGCTCTTTTAAAAGAGCCGCCACAGACACGATGGGTCGAATGGCCTCCTTCTGTTCCGTATAATTCTATGTTTCTATCATCCTCCCAATGTGAAAAGCATAAACGGAATGTAAATTTGTATCGTCCTTCGGATGAGACATTAAAGCCGTCTGCCTGTTCAAGCGAACATTAAAGACCCCATGGCACTATTCGAAAAGAGAAGGGAGTTTCTGTCTCCTGTGTCCTGGCCAACAGTCCTTCAGATAAAACTGCTCATTAATTTCATGGCTATTTGTGGGCCGTTGCTGTGCTCACTGACTGCCCCATGATTGTGTATTTGCCCCATGCACAAATACACAGTCACTACACTTTATGGTAAATCCTGTGAACGCTTTG